TTCTACTCTTGGTCTAATAGCTAAGGATGTATTGGCTATGCCAGTATCTACAGTTGCTTCAGAATCTGCATTCAGCACTGGGGGTAGAGTTCTTAACAACTACAAGAGTACTCTTACTCCAAAGACAATTGAAGCATTAATTTGTGCACATAATTGGTTCCGATCCACTCCTTTTCCAATGATGTAGAAGAGCTTATAGAAGAATGTGTAAAGATGGAGAGAGGTAATTTATTTTATTCTAGTTGTATAACTTTTTAATTTTATATCATCTTTTTATTTTTTAATTGTTAAGTTACTAACAATATTTTATTATAATTTTAGATATTTCTCCAAATACAGAAGTTGATGATGATTCTGGTGAGGATTCTGATTAAAAATTGATAGTGTAAGTTGTTATTTTTTAATTTTAATTATTCAATGCTATATGATATAAAAATCAGTTTGTATATATTAGGGGGGAGGAAAAATCAGAAACCTTACTTGAATATATAGAGGAACCTCTAGGCTAATGACTCACGGATATTCGACTACAAAAGAACTATGGGATAATGACTCACAGATATATAATGCTCTTCTATATATAGTTTAAGCATAATTATTTTCCATATGTTTAAATAGTGAGTATCTGTACCCCTATCCCTATGTGAAGTATATGGGTTTTATTGTTGAAAGATAACTTAATTGTTTTGTACATGTACTTCGATTAATGAAAGATAACTTAATGTGAAGTATCTACTATCTAATTGTTTTATTGTTGATTTGTTTTGTGATGCAGGATATGGGTTTTAGTCTCTCTGATTAGTGTTGGATTGTTGTTCCTTTGTCTAGAACATATTCAATCTACAGCTCTTTAGTGTATGCCATTTTTTTTGTTATTCTGTAACAATTATTTTCATTTTGATCACTTTGGTTATTGCTAAGTTGAGTTTTGTCAAGTTTTAAGTGTTTGTTTATGCTTGGGACGACTCTGCTACCATTTGCATGTATTAAGCTGTTTCTTCTAGAATCTGAATGTGTTACTCCATCTATACTTGAATCGAATCATTGTGTGCTGAAAATCACGGATTTCTAAACCAACGTATCATGTTTTTTTGTCACTGCTTTGTTGATGATTTCGATTTTATTCAAAAAATTTTGCTACATTGTTAATATAGAAAACGCAAAGCTAGAGAAAATATGAAAAAAATGGAATGGAGATGATAAATTGTTTTCGAGTTTTGATTAAAGGGAAAGAAATTATTTGAAAATGAAAACCCTTTTCTATTCAAAAGCTGGTGGACTTTAGAATATAATTGGATGAGAAGTGTTTTTTTGCCTATTCGGAATTCTAAAGCTCCTTCTAAGGTCAAAGTTTTTGTTTTTTTGGCTTTTCAAAAAATCGAAAACCGATCCAATCCAAATCGAAAAAATTGGATCGGATTGGAAAAAAAATCAAACCGATCGGATGATGTAATGACCAAACCGAAGGAATTGGATCCGATGGTTTTTTGCTTCAAAATCGATCCAATCCAGACCGCGAACACCCCTATTTTTGGGTCCTCAACAAAAAACATGGAACCTATTTTAATCCCTTAGGAAAAAAAAGTCAATTTGTAATCCTTCTGAAATTTCAGTTCTTTGAAATTGTGGTCCCTCAGAAATTCAAAGAAGACTCATATTAGTTCCTCAAAAAAGACTAATACAAATATTTTTTTTAAGGGATTAAAATATGTTATGTATTTTTTGTTAAGGACCCAAAATAGTATTTTTTTTTGGTAAAAAGGACCCAAAAGAGTATTTACTCATGATTTATATTATATCTTTCTTAGAATTGATTTTCTAAGATATTATTTTATCACTGCTATAGGCCTAAGTTTTGATTGTTACCAAAAATTTATAGAAATATATATTTCATTTTCTCAATGCTTACAACATCTGTCTTTGTCAAGTTTTCTTTTTATAATAAAAAATAATAATGAAACCTCATGCTTCACCCGCATCCCTGAGTCCTATCAGTTCTACAAAAATATTTTCAGTGCTACGGATGTACCCAACACTCGGTACATCCTCTACCAAAAATGGCAAAAAGTAACTCATTTATATTTATCTTTACCTTTATGGTTATTTTCTTCTGTATCCCTTTCTTTTGTCTTTTTGGCAAAGGAATACCTATTTCTGGTGCACACAAAATATGCTCTAACTCTATACTTGAAATGGTCAATGTGAGGAATAATGGCTTATAACATGTAGGGTATTTGCAAAAAGGCTCTAAATCCAAGTCAATTGGGACTCTCTTGAATTCCAAAGGTGAGATGCTTGGAATTTGTTTGGGGATCCTTATTCAAAGTAAATAAGTAATAAATAAATTTGGGAGTGGTTATACTTACTACTGAAAAGTTTTACAACTTTTATTATTAAATTAATCACCGTTGATTTTCTTCAATCTTCAAATTATACTTTATTGGGAGTTAATAATTAATTAATAAGTGTAAATCAATTAGAATTCTCTCAAATTCTAAAGGTGAGTTGCTTGGAATTTGTTTGGAGATCCTTATTCAAAGTAAAGAAGTGACATAAAATTTTGGAGAGTTTCAAAAATAAGACCTTTGGATAAGGTGTTCAAGGTGATATTTTTATCCAGAATAATAAAAGTGAGACCTTACCATGAGATAAGGTGAGATATTACTCAAATGTAGAAGGTTAGGCATTTAGCTCAAAGTAAGTTAAGATAAAAAAATCAATCTTTCAATAACAACAAATAACTAAGGATGTATTTGGCATATGAAGATAACAGTTGAATTAAGTGAAGAAAAGAAGATATCTAGGGGGCGTTTTTTGGGGGAATTTTTTAGATTCCCGAAAAATTGATATTGAGAATTCTATTTACCCATGTTTGATATAAGAATTGCAAAAAAATTTCTGAGAAAATCAAATTTCCAGGATTAATTTTTGTGAGGTAAAATGCCAACTTAAAATATCACCGGATGGGTGGTATTTTTGGATTTTCTCCCGGTGGGGATATTTTCTAATTTTTTTTGGAGATAATTAACCCTATATCTTTTTCTTCGTTCTTCTTCTTTCGTTATCAGAACCTTTCCATCGCTGCAGTTATTCTAATCGAAACCATGTGAATCAATTAGATTCTAAATCGGAACGGAACAAATGCGCCTGAGATAGCAGTAGATTCAGCAGGAACCCTAGATCTTTCTGGTATTACGAGATCAATAAACAATATATGTTCAAAAAATGCAGTAGTGATGGTGATCCGACGAGAAATTTTGATAGAAAACATAATGCAATTGATAGAAAATTCGGGGGGAAATTTAGCAGAGATTCACGCAATTTTGTATGGTGGTCTTCTGTAGGTTGCTTATGGGGAAGGAAAAAATGATGGTTATGGGGAAATGTGGTTGATGGTTGAGTTTTTGTTTGAACTGATAGAGGTGAGGTTATTTTTTGTAAAATCTCTCTACGTTTTTAATAATATTTGATAATTAACTAAACTTAGAATTAGAAAATTTGAGTCAACATTTCTGATAATATTTTGACCTATCAAATATATTTTTGGTCATATTTTCAAAAAATTTATTTTTCTAGCATATTCTTAATATTAGTGATTCTCAGGTACAACTTTTTTTCTAACTTTTTTTCTCCCTCCACCAAAAGGTCTCCTTATAATCATAACTTAAGATATAAACTTATAAAAGAAAAAATGATGATGCGAACTTATGAAAATATCAGCTCAAATAAGGATAGTTGCCGGCTTTTTCACCCTTTTGCCCCTTATTAATTAATTAATAATCATTTTGTCCCTGATTCAAAACTATCTACCAATCTGTCCCTCTTTAATCGACTAACTTAATTTTTAATCGACTAAATGGTTGTTGACTAAATCTCCCTACTTAATCGATTAAAAAATCATACTGACTTGTTTTCCTTTGTTGTATGTTGGGAGATTTAGTCGACTACATAGGGAGATTTAGTCGACTAAATCTCCCAGAAGTCATTTTTGCCTGTTTTAACCATTTAATCGACTAAAAATGCAAGGTAGTTGATTAAAGATGGGCATATTGGTAGATAGTTTCGAATCAGGAGCAAAATAAATATTAATTAATTAATAAGGGACAAAAAGGTAAAAAAGCCATAGTTGCCCGATTAAATTATTTTTCTCGAAAAGAATAGCAGTTTATCATATAGGTCACATATCAACAAAACAAAACATATTAATAGGGCTAGCAGTACAATACTAGTAACAATTCGAAGGAGGGACATAAAAGTAAATCAAACAACTAACTCCGTTGATATGATTGATCAATCATAATTTGATAAACCCATATAATTTTAATACAATTATTTAACTCATTAATCCTTGTCTAAAATGATAAAGCATCATTTCAAAACTCAAAACTTGCACCTTTCTCGTGTTGGAGTGTCATTGATTGTTCCAGAAACAGGCGACCTAACTTTAAAAAAATAAAAATCAAAAAATAACAAATAAAATTTCAAAATTCAAAAGAAGCATAGTACTTAAGAGAATGAAAGGGTGATTGGTAATTTAAGGCAAAACGATTGGGCCAAATAGGAAAATAACTTTTTTAAAAAAAGAAGAAGAAAAAAGGTGAAATTAATTTGGTTCACCTGAATCCGCTGCCCATCACACATTCACATGCAAATTGCAAAATATAAAAAAATGCAAAATGCAATGTATTCTTATTGAAATTAATATTTATCATATTATAAGAAATAATGTTATCTCTTATATATACATAAAAATATATAAAATTATATATTTTTTTCTCTTCTCTTCATATGACTCTAATGTTTTTATGTGTATAAAAAATGAAATAAAACTATCTCCTGTAACATAAAAAGCATTAATCACAACTTTATTATAAGCCTCCAATTTTGCCGGCCCCCTTATACGGCGTCGTTTTTGGGCTCCACCACTCTTTGTCTATTTGCTTCCCTTGCCGGTTACAAAAAACCAAAGTTACTTCGTTTTCTTCACACTGAGTTGACTGAGTAATCGCAACTCGCTGACTCGCTCTCTTCTCTTAGTTACACATAGCATTCTCTGCATTTTCTCCTTCGATCACACTCTCTCACTCTCTCTCTGAATCTGGTAACCTCTCTCTCTCTCTCTAGTTTCAGTCTAATCGAACACGTGCTTGTGATCCACACGCGCATGGCGAGTACTGTGGTTTTGATTTTTCCATCTTTGAATCGAATGCGATGGTGGTAGGATTTAGGATTGAAATGCGAGTGCTTATTTATGAAGATTCGGGGAGTGTAGTGCAGCACAGACCGAGATCTTGCTATTTAGTTTTGTGCAACACCGATTTTTTTTTTTTTTGGGGATTTAGTTTGATTATTGCGCAGCTTCAATTTTGCATTGAATCTGTTGGTTTATCGCTTTTATATTATCTGATTCCTGGTTCTGTTTTGATCTACTTATTCATGCTGTGTTAATTGGTCTTAACTCTTCTTAGTCATGTGTAATGCTTGGAATTATGCTTTCTATTTTGTGTATAGAAGTGTGTGTGTGGGGGTGATTTGCAATATATATGGCTTGAGTGTTATGTTTGAAGTAGAAGTTCAGTCTTAAGATTGGAATTGGCTGTTGCAACCATGGATTTTCTTGGAAATTCAATTTTTGAATGAGGATGAGAACTAAGAAAGAAGGACAACGGTGTCGGGATTCGAAGTTTGGGAGAGATATGGAAAATCAGGAGTGAATCATTTTTGTTCTCTGGACTAATGGAGTGAGGCTTGTGAATGCATTTTTTTGTTGTTGTTATTGCACTGCACTGTATTTCACTATTTTGGTGACTGTTTCTTCGTTGTTAAGTTCAGATCTTATCTTAAAAGTTTGGTTTTGGTTGTTAAATTCATTCTTTATCTTGTTTTGAGAAATTAAATGGTGTTTTGAGCAGTTCTTAGTGTTGATCTTGATGAGATGTCTTGTTTTTTCATCTCAGCCTGAAGTTGACAGGGATGTCAGAGAAAGCTCTTAGGGATCTCAATACAATTCTTGGAACTGAAAGGAAGAGTGAGAGCTCTGGTAAGGCATGTTTAACCAAGCCTTCCGTTGATAATGCTGATGAAAATATTGAAGAATGGCAAAAGAAAAAAAATTGTTCCTCCTTAGTTTCTCCACCTGTTAATGGAAGTCAGACTGTGACTGCGAACTCTGCTGTAGAGATTGGAAATGTAGAAGTAGAATACATCGAATCTGAGAACTTGAATGATCTAGAAGATATTGATACTTGTCTCAAGGTATTATTTTATCCATTGTTTTTGGGTCAAGGGAATAGAGGTGTTTTTAAAGTTGATAAACATTGACATTGGTCTGGCTTAATACTGTCCGTGTTTTATTTTTCTTTTTAATTATTTACCTTTGATTATTAGCTTTATATAAGAAATTCAACACTTCATTATTTGAATATAGTTATTTGATTTTGTTACAGACCCTCTTAGCTGGACTTGACTCAAAGGATTGGATTCTGGTTTGTGATGCACTAAATAATGTACGCCGTTTATCCATATTCCATAAGGAAGCAATGCTTGACATGCTGTAAGTATGGAACTTGTTTAATTTTTTTTTTCATTTAAGTATTGTTTTTTAAATTGAAATATCATAGATTAATATGCTATGTTTTTGTTTTATTAAATTATTCATTTGTTATCTGGTAAACAGGGGGGATGTGATCACATTTATTGCGAAGTCCCTGAAAAATCCTAGAAGTGCTGTTTGCAAAACTGCCATTATGACATCTGCTGACATCTTCAGTGCATATAATGATCTTATAATAGATTCATTGGATCCTCTGGTAAGTTAATATTCCTCGTGTACAGGTAAATTTGCCGATTTAACCATTATGGAACTCGTCTTACACTTGATAGTATTATTAGCATATTAACATGTTCCATGTGAAATGAATATGGTGGATGCAGCTAGTACAGCTTCTTCTCAAGTCTTCGCAGGACAAACGCTTTGTATGTGAGGCAGCTGTAAGAGCCTTGGTAGCAATGACTACTTGGATTTCTCCTATTTCTTTGTTACCAAAATTGCAACCATACCTTAAGCACAAGAATCCTCGTATTCGTGCAAAGGCATCAATGTGCTTTTCTCGAAGTGTTCCACGGCTGGTACGTTATATTTATGACATGCTCATATTGATGACTTTTGCTTTCAATTTTATTCTTATAATTATTTGCTGTAAAGTGATTTTTTCTGCAGCAAAAAGAAAAGAAACAAAAAGGAAAACTTTAGGGAACAGATAAATGATGCAGGGAAAGAACCTTCGTCACCATTGTGATAATGACTGTAGTAGTAATAGAAAAACTTAGGCCTATATGTTGATATGTTTAATGCTTATCTGCTAGTGGTAATAATGATCGTAGGTCTATTTTAAGCTTACAGTGTGATGCACTGAAATTGTTCATAAAACAATCAATCAACATATATGTACTTTAGTATGTTTTTTTCTCTCTCTCTCTCTCCCTGTGTGTGTGTCCACACACGCACACGCACACGCACACGCACACGCACACGCACACGCACACGCACACACACATGATTTAAATGACTGCTACTTTTTAAACATACAAGGGCAATGAATATGGCCAGCCTATTTTTGCGACTGGATGCAGAGCATTAACATTTGCTGTTTTGTATGCTTGTACTTTATTTGAACAGGGTGCAGAAGGCATAAAGACATATGGGATTGACAAATTGATCCAAGTAGCTGCATCCCAGTTGAGTGACCAGCTCCCTGAGTCCAGGGAAGCAGCTCGAACTCTACTTCTTGAGCTTCAAAATGTGTATGAGAAATATCACGATCTCATGCCAGCTACAGAGGTTGAGCATCCAGAGATGGGATCTTGGGAAAACTTCTGTCAATCAAAACTTTCTCCTTTAAGTGCCCAAGCAGTACTTCGAGTGACCAGTATTGCTCGAGAGGGTCTTGTTTCATGACACATGCATGAACTACAGTTAGTGTACTTCATTATTTGCTGGTTTGCTTGTCCTTTTCTTCTGTAAATACATTGCGACAATTGAGATGATTTGAGTTGCTGTCGGAGCACGTATTCAGTCCAAGATTTATGATGATGTATTTTCCCCCCTAGCTGTGGTTACTTATGCCACTTTTGATTGATATTTGACATATATAAATTACGTTACTTCACTGTCTCCTTCCTGATTTCCCTCCTTTTGCAATACACGCTTGTAATTGGTTTGCTTTTATTATATCCACTCCTTCAATGTAGATGTCGGGGTCTAAGGACTCATTATGTGTTTCTCAGTTGCGTTGGTTATGATCACCTGATACCAGTAATCGTGGATCTCTCCATAGCAATGCCATTCCATAGCAATGCCATTCTATTTTGAATCGTTTTCTTATTAAATAACTCAGAAAGTTTTAGATTATGAGTGACCCACTTTTTAGATTTGGAGAATAACTTAGATTATTAGGAATAATCACCGGTAACGTCAATGATGCAGAACTGAACAACCATAGGTAGCCTTTGGTGCTTTGTTTTGTTTTTCTTGTTTTTATTCTTTTTAATAGAATTAAAATATATTAGTTTTTCAACCTTATGTTCTGTTGGGTTTTATTGTTGAGAATCTTGAGATGCACCAACTTTAAATGAAACTTTCATGTCCTGCTATATCTAGTTTTAACATGTCTATCAAACACATTCATAATGTTGGTTTTGATCATCCTTCCGTTTAAAATTGACCAAACAAGTCATCGATGTATCCATTTACACAATTGATTTATGTCTGCTAACTATCTTTTTGCTAGGTGGATCAAATTTAGTTTGGTGAAAACATACTGGAACTGAGTGAAAAGTTTTGCTATTAGATTTTGTTTTGCAATTATAATAGAACACATCTCAAATGTGCTGTTTTGTTTTTGTCCCACATTTCTTTTCAGGGGTTGTAGATGCTTGATCTTAACTTAACGTCATGAAATTCCCACATAATCTGTAATTAAGTTCACCAACTTTTGATGATTGATTATATATTCTATAGTAGATGTATCATCAAGTGACCTATCAATTTACTGTGCAAAAGCTGCAAATAGTGTGAAAAGATCAATTATTAGAACTGGTAGAGGAATTTTTAAGATTCTATGAAGGGAACATGACATACCGTGAAGATGAGCTGTAGTTGTTGTAAGCCTTATATTCAAATTTGGCCACACATATTTAATAAATGTTATCTTACAGATTTATTTAAAAAGAATAAAGTATTTGATTGGTTTGCTATACTGGAGATGGCTGGCTACTGTAGGGGTATCCAAATCATGGGGTATGAGTGTATGACTATTCAATGTTTGCACAACTTGTAACAGAACAATGTAACCGACGATATTAATTATTATTTGAAGAGTTACTTTGATGTGCCAAATGGAAAATTTATGTACCATTATATCTTTTAAGCAATGTTATTAAAATTGGCATGGTCATTGATCTGGTCGAGGTACTGGTGGTTCAATCAGTGGGTCACTAGTTTAACTGAATGATCCGGTAATTATATGTAATTTTATAATTTATATTAAAAAATTATAAACATACTCAAATATCTAAAAAAAATGACAAAAATCTCAAATATTTTAATATAAAAAATAATAAATCACATATTATTATCCAATAAAAGATCAAACAAAAATATAATGATCGTGATACGAGGCTTTAGGTTCAGAAAACGACATCTCTAACTATAAATCAAATCAAATTTTTCTGTATAGTGCATAATTGAGATAATATTAGTGTTGTAGGTACATAACTTATGTAAGTCAATAAGCAAAAAAATTCAAATATGTCCATTATGATTTTTATTTTTTAAAAAAAAATTGGATTTTTTTTTTTGAATCGGGCCGGGTCACCGGTTAACCGACCGGGTCACCAGTTTTCATGAAAACCGATCGGGTCGCATCGGGTCGCACTGGTTCTGATGCATGGCCGGTCCGTTGCTTCAACCGGACTGATTATATAATCGATTTACCGGTTCCTGAGTCGACCCGGCCGGGTCGGTCCGAGTTTCTTAACACTGCTTTGAAGGACTGTTTTTTTTTTTTTGGTAAGAAAGGACTAAGTGTTTATTTCGTAAAAATCGGGTTTGGGATTTACATTAGGGACATTTGAAAAAATAATTCTTTTAAAATTTAATTTGCAATTTTACTAATCCCTTCAACTATTTTATTTGGGGTAAACTGGACCCTTCAACTTTAAAATATGTTCTAATAGTTAACTTGTTGAAGATAATTCTTGTTTTTCATTTCATTTATGTTTAAATTTTCCTTTGAAATGGAAAATTCTAATTTTTAAGCCAAAAGTGAAAAAAAATGAATTTTATTTAATGGTTCAGTTGGATAAAAGGATCAACTCATACACAATACAAGTGTTTTTATTTGAAGTATAAAAGCTGATATTAGAATATGAACTCAAAGAAAGTGAAATAATATATAACACACATAAATCCAAATAATATGTCCAACTCATATTAAGCCGAATACTATATAGTACATACATATACACCCAAACGCACGAAAAAAAAAAAGTGTTGCATAAGTAGTACTCCTCAAGAGGTGAAAACAAAAATTGCAATTTTAAGGCTCTGTTTGATTGTTGTTTTTAAAAACAGTTTTTTAGTTTTCAGAACAAAAAAACAAAAAAACTCGTTTGGTAAAACCTGTTTTTGTAAAAAATGTTTTGAAAATTATAACTGTCTTTTGTTTTTAGAATCAAATTTAGAGAACATGTCTGAGTTGTTTTTGTTTTCTGTTTTGGTTTTTAACTTTAAAAAATTAAAAAATATAGAAAAGAACTGTTTCCATAACTATTTTACAAAACAATTTTAAGAACAAAAAAAACCAGAACACAATCAAAGAGACCCTAAGTTTGTTACGAAGATGCGAAAGTGCACAATGTGATTAAGCTTCAAATATACATTGATTTGAAAGGGGGCTACCAATGTTATTTAGCAGAAAAATATAAGATTATGCTTAGAAAATATCTAGTTCTGCTGAAGTGACACTTTCTTACTTTTAATCCAAAATAATAATCTTGGTGACTTCTCATCCAATGCCTAAAGCTATTGGTGGGTAAATTTAAAACAGACATTAGTGGATTAGTGTTTTTTACTTGATACTTAACCAAGAAAACAAACGTTAGAAGTCACCGACAAACCAGAAGAACAAGATGTCTCTGAACAACAGAGAAAATGCTGATGACATGTAATTGTCATTCTTCCCTTGATATACTGTATAATCTAACATCACTAATGATAATTATGCAGAATATGTAATAAGATCCTATTCCCATGTGTTGTTCCTTTGTTGTCATCTTTTTTTAATCGTAGAGTAATCAAAAGGCACATAACTTTCTCCAACGCATTGAAACCAAAATGGTAAAAAGGAGCATAAAAAAGGTTAAAAAAGAAGAAGATCTGAACTGAAAGTAACTCGTATATATAATAAAAAACAATGAAACTAACATTGGAAACATAAATTACGCACGAGATGGATCATATGGAAACTTCATAACAGAATCATAATCGGCACAAAATTCAGGACCTTCTCTCTTCATCCCCATTCTCCCCTCTCCTTCCCAAGATGAGCAGCTAAAGAGTACAACAAAGAGGTCTAAGAACACCATCCTACTGTTCTTTCTTGAGAGGCTGTGTAGATTGCTGATCATCTTTTGTAGACTCATTTATGCTAGCTTTGGCCTCAGCAAGAAATTTAGGATCAGGCTCATGCTTATCTGCAGGTTCTCTCATCGCCAAATATATGTAAAATGCTATGACTACATTAACAGCTATGACAGCAAGAAATCCACTAACTAGTGTCATAGAGTAGGGGGACAAACTGGATGTTCCTGTTACAAACAAGGAAACACAGTAAGATAGTTTTACAATTTCCACTCCATATTTCTTTTTCTGAACTGTAGTTGACAAACGTTGAAGGAAAGAAACAAAAACTGATGAGATCCATTCTCCCCAGGCAAAGAGGGTGAAGCATATTTTTCTGCCGTTGATTTCAAATTGATCCAATGATAAACAAACAGATTGTAAGAGTGGTAAGCCTAAAATGGTGGTAACTATAAAAACAAAGGGTAACTCTACGTTCGAAGAGCCTCAGTATGGGAGCATTTAGATGCCAGTCCAGGTAGACAAGTACATACAATTTAAAAAGTCAATAATTTGCTTAAAGAATTAAGCTGATCCGGGCAGAATTTTTGAAGTACTGACTTAAAGCAGCGATCACAAAAAGCATTGAAAAAGTACCATTTTCAAACGTGCTAAAAAATCACCATAAATTCTAAGTTAAAGGAAAAACTATCCATTTCCACATAGTCTTACATAAGTATTCAGATCAATATTCTAGATGGTTTAAAAAGACAAGTTCTAAGTTAGGCATTGTTTAAGAAACCATAACATTTTCCTTCAAGGTCATCAGTTGTCAGTACAAATATTCTCACTATCAGCATTTGAAAAATAAAATAAAATAATATGAGATACAATCTTTTCAACAAGAAAACAGAAAAACAAGTAACTTTGAAATAATAAGAAAACATAACATAGATCTTTCCACTAAAAGGAACTTCACTAGGTCTTCCCAGTCAAGTTAATAGAGAGAAAATATCAATCATACAGATTAGAGTACAAGCCAAAACCCCCTTCAAAATAAATAAATAAACAAATGTATAAAAGGTTAAGCACTCTAGAATCTTACCAGGAAGAAGATTATGGTTAAAACCATATAATATTGCAATAGGGGCTGCCCACATGAGCAGTGATGCAATGAAAAACTTCTGAATTACTCTCATTTTGTCTCCAATCCCTATATATAAAAAAGAGAGAGCAGAAATAGTAAAAAAAAAAAAAACTTTAAAAAAATAAATAAAAAATCTTGTTCAAACTTTACAATTCCAAACAGATTAATCAATAAAGTTTCAAATGAACTCACAAAAATCAAAACTTTGAATGAGGTAAATGCATACCACACTCCTGATCGAAACCTTGTTCTCCTCTGGTGTTAGAATCTCGTTGCTACCACCCCAATATGGAGCCCGTAGTCAAACGAGAAGGTATGTGACTATGCTTCGATCAAACACTTCACTAGCGAGCACTGATTCCAAGCTTCAATGGTTGAGCAGTGTGAATTGAAAATTAAAGGAAGATTCAATTGAAATGAAGAAACGGGATTTAGGGATTGGGGTAAAAGAAGAATCAGCAAAACGCACCGGAGAGCAAGTTCCGTAATGGGCCGGCCCATTATTTCAAGAATTAAAGAGCTGGGCCCGAAATCATGAGCCTGACCCATAGGCTAAACTATATTTTGACACCTATACTCATTTAGAAAAAAGGTAAATTTCATAAAAATAATGTGTTTGAATTAAATTCAAAATTTTCTCAATTTTTTTTAAATAATTATTTTCTAAACATTTGTCTACCAAATATACACTAGCTCTTTTTATTTTTAAATAGTAAAAATAATATCTAAATAGAATAGGGAAACCCACTTAGGACACACTTATAATTCTTTCAATATTTTTGGAGTCATTTATTTTAGGGCTATTTATCATTTTCCTCTTTTTGACATAATCATCTAATTATATCTTTTATATGTCATCACATTGGAAATATTTATGGTACAACAGTCACACACAACATTTCATGCGACCAGCCAATAAAAATAGAGTAATATCTGTGTTGTCTGTACGGAGAAAAAAAAAAATATTTTTTTAGTCTAAATATGATTTTCTGAATCGCAGATGCGTACGACAACTGTATAAAAAATGATCTCCACCACATTATCCTAATAGTTTAAATAAGGACTCAAAATCTTACTATTCTCACCCTTCATGTATGATGCATGAAAATGGATATGTTGTTTCTTGTATGATCCTCGGTCTATATGTCAAAAATGAAAAAAAAAAAAATCACAAAAATAAAGAGCATGGCCATTTAAATATGCGACAACCATTTCCAGTGGAAGCAGCAAATTACCTTCCTGCAGAGGGCTATATACTATAGGTTATAGGCAAAACTATCCATTTTCTCATAGGTTTACATAAGTATTCACATCAAATTTTTTACATGGTTTAAAAAGACATATTCTAACTTAGGCAAGTTAGTAAAATGTGTTTGTGGTGGTGTGACCCTATGTCTGTGTGGTCCACTTACATTGTTTGCTAATGATAATAGATTGCATAATGGAGTATCTAATTTTGGTTTTGGTCTTCCATCAACCTCACCTATGTTGTTTACTTCTAAATTCTGATAATGGAGAACCTATCTCATCTGCTTTTGGTTTTGGTCTGCAATCATCAACTAAGTTTTGTTTTTGGTCTGCCATCAACTGAGCCCATCTTCAGTGCACACTTGAACATACTCTATGATGGAGGAGTCTATAAAAAGATACATTTTCAGCTTCATGAGTCCCTGAGCTCACTCTACCACAGAGCTGCACACCATAGTTTGGAAGGTAGAAATTTTACACATCAGAGTTACAAAGCCATTCAAAGCATCAAGAAAAACAATGGTGGGGATATTTTTAATCTATCATATTTCGCATTTCATTATAAATTAAAACTTACAAGGCATTGTTTAAGAAGCAATAATATTTTCCTTCAACATCATTATATAAAAAAAGAAAGTAAGATACCATCTTTTCAACAAGAAAGCAGAAAACATAATAAATAAGGAACATAAAATACAGAAAAACAAGAAACAAGGATTGCTTTGAAATAATAAGAAAACATAATATACATCTTTACACTAAAAAAGCCTCACTAGGTCTTCCCAGGTCAAGTTAATAGAGAGAAAATATAAAGCACACGGATTAGAGTACAAGCCAACACCCACTTCAAAATAAATAAATAAACAAAGGGGTTTGATTTTCTCATGTTAAATGAGAATTCAATTCTCTTGTTGTAGAGATAAAAAGTATGTAGGACCCATATATTAGAAAAAAATTATATGTAGGATCCATGTCAGCACGAAAATCGAAGGGTGTGTAAGAAAATTTGAATTCTCATATTAAATGAGAATAATAAAACTCATAAACAAATGCATAAAATCTTAAGCACTATAGAATATTAGCAGGAAGAAGATTATGGTTACAACCATATAATATTGCAATAGGGCCCGCCCACATGAACAGTGATCAATGAAAAACTTCTGAATTACTCTCATTTTTCTTTCAATCCATATATATACATATAAGAGCAGAAGTATTTAAAATAAAAGAAAAGGAAAAGAAAAAAACAGAAACTTGTTTATGAGCACTGATTCGAAGCTTCAAGGTTGAGCAGTACAGGAAATTTGAACTGAAACGAAGAAACTGGAATTGTTATATAAAAAAAAAGGACTCTTCATGCTTGTTTATTTTAGAAGTGTTTTTTTACCAAAATTAAAGTTATTTAAATTTTAATAAAATATTTGATTTTTAAAAAAAATATTTGACTTTTTTAACTTCTAAACAAAGTAAATTTTTGAATTTTTTTTGTGATTTCTACTTTTTTAAATTAAACATCTAAAGTGACTTTATAATATAAGTATGTTTTTTCTTAAAAAAAATAACTTTCGGTAAAAAAATATACAAAAAAACCCATCTAAACGGTCTCTAAAAACTGGGCCAAAACGTTTCCATAAAATTAAAAGCTGGGCCAAAAATTTATTAAAATATAACTATTTCACTTAAAATAATATAAAATTATATTATTTAAAATGATAAATATTTTTTAGAATATATATATAAATTTTTTTTTGAAAAAAATATTTTTTTTCATTTTGAAGAACATAACTTTATGTTATTTTAAGTCATACCATTGTATTTTGGTAATTTTTTTATATTTTTTCTCCTCTGTAATACTCTCTTTTTCTCTTTTATCCTAATTTTGTGGCAGTGAGAGGATATAAAAAATCACAAAGTACAATCGTTTTATTTATAACGACATGATGTTGCATCTTTTAAATTGGCAAAACACTTTTTCTACAAATTTTATAAAAACACCTAGGAAGCCAGGAGAAACTAACTTCCCCAAACATTATTTTAAAAAAAAATAAAAAAACTTTGGAAAATAAGATTTAAATTGAACTAAAATGAATTTCCAATGTAATAAAATTTAGAGTATTTAAAAAAGCAATGTTTCATAATAGGTAGCTTGGGAAATAAAATATTAAAACGGGATATTTTGATATTTTTTAAATTTGTTTGAACGTTCATTTAAGCTATTAATATTGAATATAATATTTGTCATTTTTTTTTTTTTGATAACATTAAGGGGCGAAGCCCCAAACAAAAACAAACTAACAACCAAAAACAAAAAATAACTATCCAGGGTCTATACCCCTACAAGAGGAGATTCCCTGAAGATCGTGATCAAATAACTGAGCAAGGTGAAACGGCATAACTCTATGACTCCAGAATCCAGTATCTTTGTGAAGAGCAGACTTGGCTAACCAATCAGCACAGGAATTAGCTTCTCTTGGAATATGAGAAAGCGTTACCTCCCAATCCTGACCGATGAGTGCTTGTATCTTAGCCACTATACGAGGCTGACAAGCTGCATTGCAATCAGCAAGCAAAGAGAATACTTCAGAAGCATCTCCTTCTAGTTCCACCTTCTTAAATCCCAGTTGCCAAACCAATTCCAGACCTTTTAGAGTTCCCCAAAGCTCCGCCATTAAAGGAGTGCAAGCACCAATATGATACTCAAAGCCTCCCAACCAAGAGCCATCATCAGATCTGATAATCCCACCACAAGCAGCCACCTCAGTATTCCTTTCAACTGCCCCATCAATATTAATCTTCACCCAATTTAACCTTGGAGGTTTCCATAAACTCATACGAGTTGGATGAATGCTAGTAGTAGCCATAGCCTTCCTACCCATGCAGTTACGAACTTCCTCTATATACATAGCATTTTAAATAATATAAAGTTATATCATTCTAAGAGAGAGATAAACACAAAATAAAATTTTTTATTTAAAATTTAAATTAAAAAAACCACTCACTTTCTCCTCATGATTTTCATTCATTATGTTAATCTCTCTTTTAAAATGACATAATTTTTGTCATTTAAAATGACAAACATCAATTTACAAAAAATAAAATAAAAAAAATGACAAACATCAAACCCATTAATATTTTGAATATTACTGTAAAATGTTGAGTAAGTAACACTGTAACATACTAATGACAAAAGAAATATTCGTATCCGAAACTTACGAAGTAAGGGACGGTCATCAATGTTTATAAAATTTCAGAATAACAATTGGACACAATTATACGCATGGTTGTGAAAGAACTTTGGAAAATCAGTGTATCGACGTGTATAATTGGGTCTCTACTTGTGATTATAAAACGAATATCATGCATGAAGGAATTGATTTCCTAAGTCCCAAAAAAATGGGGCTCCATGAGGATGACCATAGGTTAATTCTATTATCTGTTGCTACATGTTACTTCTAAATATTCCAACTTATGTCAAAAGAAAAATAAAATAAAATAAAAATTCATCCAGTAATAAAATATAGAATAAGACCTTAATCTTTGACTTGCTGATATTAGTTTTATAGTAGGCTTAAAGAGTTGAAATTTGTAGGTATATCTGGGAGAGCCTACTCATCTCAAAGAGACAATTACTGTCGATATAAAAAAAAATCAATAGAGAAAGAAAATATTTCATTTTTGGCATGTAAATAGGAGCATACCATTAATATGTTTCAATTGGAAATACTTATGCTAATTGCCATGGTTGATAGCTTCAGCATTTGACCAAAAGAAACAGTAACAAAAAGCTTCTATCCAATGGTGACAAAACCAATCTTTTCCATTTGCTTGTGGGTCCAATCAAATTTGATTTGTGACTATTATTATTACTCTAGTTGAAATTAATCAAATTATCATTTCCAAGTTTTTTAACTTAGGACATGCAGCCAACTGGTAGCCAGCATTAACATAAAGTAACTTAATAACCTTGAATGTTTTTATTACCATTGTTTATGTAAATTATTGAATGAAAAAAAATCAAGGTCTACATGGAAAGTGAAAAGAAGGGTGATTTTCTATCTTTCTCTCTCAAAATATAAGATTTCAAGACATTCTATCTGTAAAATAACTGTAAATTTGCATTGGCCGGCAACAAGACTAATGGTATACAAGAAGCAAAAGGGTGATGTTAGTTTATTTTTTTTATGTTTCCAATTGGACTATGCACCCAAATCTTTGAAATTTTTTTCACATGAATGTTCTAATAACAAACAAAATAACAGGCTTTCAAACTCTTAAAAAGACAATCTACAAGACATTCCAATTATGTGCTTTCTTTGTGGTTGCACACAGACACACATGAATGTTCTACTACCAAACAAATGTTTATGCTTCTTCATTGCAAATGTTGCTCATTAGCACATCTCATAGCTACTGGTCACATGTTGTCAGAGTTGCATTTGGTGAACGCACCCCATTAAAACGTTTAGTTACATTCAGTTCTTAAGGTTCCTTCTAACAATCATAGGATGCATAAACTTCCAATGGCCTTTTGGAATTGGAACAGAACTTTGTTTCCAACATCTATCTTGCTAGTTTGCATTTTCATTCTGATCACAACTATGAAGTTTACAACTTCATGGTCTCTGGAGACAGGATGCAGCCTTAAAATTCAACTTTCACATTTGTTGAATGATTCATGTTGTCAAGAGGGAGGAGAATGGCATGAGCTCCTTCACAGTAAGTGCTGTGGAGTAGCATTTGATGCTTACCTCTATGCACTGGGTCAGCGAGCAAATCAAATAGGGAAGGTTTACTTGGATTCCACTGAGCAAAGAAATTGTCTGTCTGGTATAAATAGTTTTGGTTGTGGAATTGAGAACCTAACAAGTGGTGCTGGTGGATGTTCTGACTTCTTGGTTGATGATGTTATGAATAAATTAGGAAATGAGCTTAGAATTTTAGAAGAAAATTGTCAACTTATGACTTTAGGGAATGAGTGGGAACAACAATCATGTCCTTCCTGCATTAGGGCATGGAAAAATATAGGAGGGGCAGATTCCAAAAACACCAAAATCAAAGGTGAAAAAATTGATTTTGATGTCTGTAGAATTGCTGTACTTGTGACATTGATAAGCAGCAAAATTGAAAATGAGATGTATGTTCACACAGTTCTGAGATGCCTTGGAGCATCACATATTTATATAGGTAAATATAAGCATATACTTTGGATTAGTTGTTGAGTATCTTATATGTAAGGCTACTTAGTCTAATTTGTTTGTGATCAATCTTCTTTTCTCTAGCAGAGAATGAAACCGCAGAAGTCAATCAACAAATGAAGACTAATAAAGGTGCTTAAATGTTATAATATTAATCATGTTTCCAAATATGCAGATTGTTGAGTGCTCTTCTCTTCTTGACCATCAACGCCTTTATGTTGAATTAGGTATGTGGATTCTGATTGGAGCAACCATAGGGGTTATAGTGATAGTAGTTATCACTGTATACATATTTTTTCATAGATATTTCAGATCTGCCCCACCAAAAAACGAAGGTAAGACTTTCAAACTCATATTAGATAGCATCATAGTTAAAGGGTATTATATGCTTATGCAATCCTTTTTTCACAGTAACATTTGGAGACATGTTAAAGAAAACTGCTTGTCCAAGAGTTTCTATCAAGGAAGTGTATGCTGCCACTAAACATCTGAATGAAATGAATATCATTGGGGAAGGAAGTGCAGGTGAGATTCTTTTTCTCTCTTTGTTGAAAGCCGGTGGTGAGAAATTTTGGTTTAATATATTAATTAAAATTTTATCATCAATTGTATAATCTATACATAAAATATTCAAATAGTTTCTGTTGAGATATATAGTCCCACATTGGTTGTATGTGCAACTAATGCAGAGTTTATAAGGTCTTGGGTACTCCCACCCTTTGAGCTAGCTTTTGGGGTAGTGTATCCTAAGGTTCTTTACATGGTATCAAAGCCTCGCCTCCCCCCACTTTCTTTTGTGGCGTTTCTTAGCACAGGTAGGCTGGGCCTGTTGCATTGTCCACTCTTCAAGCCCAATGGGCTCTCGTGTGAGGGGGCGTGTTGAGATATATAGTCCCACATTGGTTGTATGTGCAACTAATGTAGAGTTTATAAGGTCTTGGGCACTCCCACCTTTTGAGCTAGCTTTTGGGGTGGTGTATCCCAAGGTTCTTTACATGGTATCAGAGCCTCGCCGCCTCCCACTTTCTTATGTGGCGTTTCTTAGCACAGGTAGGCTGAGCCTGTTGCATTGAGTGCAGAGAAAGCCTCTCGTAGAGGGTTTGCGTCCACGTGCAAAACCCTTGGAGACAAGGGCAGATGGGTCAATTGAAGAGGGAGCAGATACTGTAGGCTCCATAGCAGTCTTAGGTGGAATGCGAAGCAACGTAGACCAATCACAGTCCAGCGATGGAACAGTAGTAGAGCCCAAGATCTGATCCCGGTTGACAGAGTATTCCGAGGGCAAACCATAAAGAGCCATGAGCATGAAGAACGTGCTGCGTTGCTCAAGTTCTTTAGCAGGATCTGCAGCAGGCGGCAACAGTTCATTGAAATCATGAAGGAGGCCCTGAACTTTTCCCAAGTAAGCAGACATAGAGACATCAAGTTGTTGAGCAGCAATAGTAGTGATCAAATTTTGACAAACGCCATAGAGTCGCTGAGCGTCATTGGTATAAAGTGACTTGGCCTGACGCCAAACAGACTCACAAGTGACGTGAGCACGAAAAATCTGCTTCAAGGACGAGTGAATGGTAGACTTGATGATGCTACATAACTGAGCATCAACCTTTTTCCAATGAGGGCATACATCTACCGAGATGGACTCAGCCTTAGTAATGAGATGGTCAGTGCAGTCCTGTCCATCAAGCCAAAGTCGGAGATCAGAAGCCCAAGAATCATAATTGGAGCCATCCAACTTGTCGACGTGCAGCGGAACATTAACATAATTAGAAAAAACAGGCGGGTCAGCCTTTTGAGAACCCTTGGATGCATCGTGGGGTGAGAAATCAGCCATGGGTCACCTGAAACCAAAAAGAACAGCAACAAAAAAGCAAAGAGACACCTGTGAACAGTAACCAACAAGGGAAAGGACACCGTAGGAAACCGGAACGATGTCAAAACCACAAATCGAGGACAGATCCAGGGACGCAAGTCACGACGAGATGGACGGTGGTGGTAGGACCGGAAGAAACAGCCTCACGCGCCTCCACGCGCGGCTGCAAAATAACTGGACGCAGCCCCTTCGTGACGCGCGTGAGAGCGCGTGGAGAAGGATCTTCGAACGGGTCCAAGACAGACAAGACCGCCGTGTCTGGACGATCAGAACCGTGTATGGTTCGCCGGAAAATTCGTCAGAGACGGCGGTTCCGGACAGCGGCAGTGATCAGAGAGGTCCTTTGACGATGTATGGACGCCGGAAACTGACAGATATGATTGTCTCCGAAAAAAAAAAAAATTTACTCAGCGGACAGTGGTCCACCGAAAAAAAAAAAACGCGGATTAGGATTCCTCTTGTTAGGCTCTAGATACCATGTAAAGAACCTTGGGATACACCACTCCAAAAGCTAGGCTGGGCCTGTTGCATTGTCCACTCTTCAAGCCCAATGGGCTCTCGTGTGAGGGGGCGTGTTGAGATATATAGTCTCTCATTGGTTGTATGTGCAACTAATGTAGAGTTTATAAGGTCTTGGGCACTCCCACCCTTTGAGCTAGCTTTTGGGATGGTGTATCCTAAGGTTGGTTCTTTACAGTTTCTATCGTTTCAACAACTTAAGCTACAGGCATTAGATAAGTGTTCTAGAGTCAAAATCTTGGCTCTTCTCCTTACCAAATCAATTGAAAATATCAACTTATTTACTTAAATTGTCAAAGTTTGATTAATTCTGTACACATAAAGTGATCTTAAATCTGGACTTATCTTTTAGGTAAGGTCTATAAAGGCAAAATGACAAGTAATCAGCATGTTGCAGTAAAGCACATAATCAATGATGATGGAAATATGGATACTTTTGTGAGAGAAGTTACAAGTTTATCTCATGTCAGACACCCAAATCTTGTTGCTTTGCTGGGTTACTGTGTTAAGGGAGATGAATGTTTTCTTGTCTATGAACTATGTCCCAATGGGAGTCTCTCTGAGTGGCTATTTGGTAATTATAATTTATCCCTTGTTGTGGTATGATAGTTTGAATTTGTTTTCTCTTCTATCTATGATCTTTGAAGATTTGACAAGTGAATACATCAGGCAAGAACAAAGTGCTGTCATGGATACAGAGGCTAGAAATTGCAATTGATAGTGCTCGAGGTCTTTGGTTTCTACACACATATCCAGGAGGCTGCATAGTTCACCGTGATATCAAGGTATATCATAATAAACATCTCACACATTCTAATTTGCAGTTTTTCTTTGCAACATGACATGTTGCAGATTTACTATTATTAAATCTTAAGATACAACTTAAGAGAAGGTTCTACGTTTATACATTTAAAACCCAATGAATCCTGTTCAACTAACCATAAATGCAATGATAAGGTCAAGTCTCACACTAAGGACTTATGATCACATGCAATTGGTAATTTCTTTCAAGATCTCTGTCCTCATTATATAACCTTTGAAATAGTGACTGGATTTTGTTTCTATATTTTTTTTCTTTCTCATTTTCCAATTCTAAAGGTTTTGCTTTTAGTACAGTAGGAATGGGAAAAAGAAAAAAGAAAAAGAAGAAGCAAAGAAACTAGTGCTAAGAAATTGTAACTCAAATGCTCACCTTTGTGCAACTCTTAGATGATAGTGGAGTTTAATAGAATGACATACATTTCTCATGCAGCCAACAAATATTCTTCTTGGGTCTAAATTTGAGGCAAAGCTATCAGATTTTGGACTGTCTAAAGTTATTGAGGTGGGTGAAACGTATGTTAGCTCAGAAGTGAGAGGAACTTTTGGATATGTTGATCCTGAGTACCAAAGCAACCACCATGTGAATTCATCTGGTGATGTTTACAGCTTTGGCATGGTACTTCTACAAATACTCTCGGGAAAAAGGGTATTAAATTTGAAACTGAGGAAACCAATGTCACTGAATAAAATGGTCAGAAACCATAAGTCTTAAATCTCTTACTTTTGTTTCATTCATTTTTTTTTTATTTTGACCCCTTGTGCCAATTTTGTATGATATACTTCATTTCTTAGGCAAAAGTACTCACCAGAGGTGGCAGCATAACAGAATTTGCTGATCCTAAACTTCAAGGGGAGTACTCAGAGGAAGCATTTGATTTTACACTTCAGTTGGCTCTATCATGCACAGCCCTTAACCAACAACGTCCATCCATGGAGCAGGTTGTCAAAAGACTAGAAGAGGCCTTATTAATTTCAAAAGGGAGGATGGTTTCTACTACAGAAACTCCAGCAGACAATAAATCTATTCCATAGAGGAGTAATTTTTATAATTGGAGTTTTGGAAATTGGTTAACAATTTTTTTAAAGTATTTGTCATGAGAAATTTATTTCTTTGTACATGATTTATAATGGAATTTTGTTTTGAGATTCTGTGATCACTTGAAACTCTTTCTGTTACATAATAAAAATAAATGTTTCAATTTCTTGAGATGTTTAAAAAGGATGGCATCCGTAGAAGTTATTGTTTACTTATGCATTCTGGATGATTCCCATTTAAGGTCCATTACTTTAGAGTGAAAGCTAAAATGTAGGCCCTTTATTTTGGTACAAAAATCTAGGCCTATTTAATCTCCAATGTTTTGCAAACTTAGTCAAGTACAATTCAGCTATGCCTTAGGGAACATCAATACTTAGGTGTTGGAAAACTACAGCCATGTTGGATTCTTCAAAGAAGTGACAGCAGCTTTAACTTGAAGGTAGCTGCTAAGGCTGTAGATTCCCCTTACTCTCCCTTGTCCACTCATCTTAAACCCACCAAAAGGTATTGCTGCATCAAAGACATCATAGCAGTTGATCCATACTGTTCCAACTCTCAATGCACGCATCAAGGTGTTAGCAGTGTCCATACTCTGAGTAAAAACTCCAGCAGCAAGGCCATAGGATGTTGCATTGGCCCTTCGTATAACCTCCTCTAGATCCCTATGATTTGTTTCAAACACAAACAAAGAATAACTAGGATTTAAGAAGAGGAACTATTGAAGAATGTACAAACATGATGCCATTTTGACTAGTGATTCACAGCATGCTTACTTGAATTTCAAGATAGATTGTACCGGACCAAAGATCTCATCTTTTGCTATCAACATGTTGTCCTATGATAACAAACAACAAAGAAATCATTTTGGTTATTTGATTCTGTTTTATAATTATGTTGCTACTTGTCCAGAAATAGAAATATTATTGGAGGTACAATGCCTGAACATCTGAGAAAACAGTGGGTTGGATGTAGTAGCCTTTAGAGCCAATTCTTTGACCACCAGATTCTAGTGTAGCACCACTTTCAATGCCTGATCTTATGTATTTCAGGATCTTCTCGAATTGTACAGAATCAATCTGAAACATATACAACCATCAATGCCATCACCCTTTTAGATGCTACTTACTTAACATTTATCTAAACATTAGTTTAAAAGAAATGAGAAGAATTCTGTTTGCATGAATGAACAATTGCAAAACGATAGGTTCCTCTACTTATTGAAAACAAAGTTTTTGAAAAACTTGGATGCTATTCTTATTTGGAACAAGGGTTCTCCTTGACTTGAGGTTTATTGGAAAAGAGAAGATAGGAGATAGTCATAGATATCTACCTGAGGACCTTGCTCAACCCCAGTTTTAAAAGGGTCTCCAACTACACGTTTAAGGGCTCGAGCTTTTGCCTTTTCCACAAATTCAGCATATATGCTTTCGTGAACAAATGTGCGAGAACCAGCACAACAACATTGTCCCTGTAGAGCAAAAAACAAAAGAGCTTCAACCATATTGAATAACTATGCCATAAATAAAAATCTTGAAAATGCATTGTTCTCATAATGAATAACAAAAACTCAGATTATCAAACCTGATTAAAGAATAAAGCAGTGTGTGCAGCCTCAACAGCAGCATCAACATCAGCATCCTTGCACACAATGAAAGGAGATTTTCCACCTAGCTCTAGAGTTACTGGCTTCAGATTGCTTTGTGCAGACAACCCTAGTACAATCTTCCCGGTTGTACTTGATCCTGTGAAAGCAAGCTACAAAAAAAACAACCAATTTTTAGTTTTCAATTAGTTACTAGGCCATATAGGCATAAATTAAGAACTTAAAAGTTAATGCATATATGCATTGGAGTTATATCAACAGATCAAAACAACTTTCAAGTAGACAGAATCATGAAAATGAACCATATATTTTGTGATGTCTCATGGGAATTTTTCAAAGAAATCTTTTGAAGTACCTTGTCAACATCCATATGGCTACACAAAGCTGCACCAGCAGTAGGACCAAAGCCAGAGATAATATTTAGAACACCAGGAGGAAGTCCTGCCTGTTAAATCAATTCCATCAATGAGGACTATCACAAATGTATAGACACATACAAAACTGTTGAGATATATAAAACCATTAATGTAGCCTCACCCAACAACTTAAGCTTTTGGATTGAATTGGTTCTTTATATGGTATCAGAGCCTGTTCGATCCTCATCGCCCCCCACTTTCTTTCTAGTGAAATTTCTTTCTTCGCACAGATAGGTGGGCCTGTGCATTGTCCACCCTTCAAGCCCAATGAGCTCTCGTGTGAGGGGGCGTGTTGAGATATATAAAACCATTAATGTAGCCTCACCCAACAGCTTAAGCTTTTGGGTTGAATTGGTTCTTTACAAGAACCACAATCTCTTTGCTTAAAATCAATTTTGATATTACAAGTCTAGGTTCATTTCAAACTGCACCAAAAAATTTCCTAGAGGTTCAGATAATAACCGTGACAATAATAACATTGAAGACTTGTTCACATTCTCTCTGCTGGAAGAGTTAACCTTTTTTTAAAGCTAAGATCAGGTTATTGATCTAGTATTGGTAACAAATGTGTGGTAACATTTTTCTATTTTATTTTAACTAAGATTCTCACAAAACTGAAACCCAAGCCAGTATGCACATACATGGAAACATATATAAGTGTTTGTGGTAAACCTACCTCAAGAAATAGCTTTGACACATAAAGGGCAGAAAGAGGTGTCTGCTCTGCAGTTTTCAGTACAACTGTATTACCACATGCCAATGCAGGTGCAACCTTCCATGAATAAATAAGAAGTGGGAAATTCCAAGGAACAATTTGCCCTGCTACACCAATAGGTTCATGCAACGTTTGTACATGGTGTGGTCCATCAGCTGGAACTGTTAGACCATGAATTTTATCAGCCCAACCTGAAAGAAAACAAAAGGGAAAGCCAAAGAATGTAAAAACTTGCTATACAATACTATAACATCATGGATTAGGAGCTCAAAGATAATGTAATTACCCGCATAATATCGAAACACACGTACCACCATAGGTATCTCAATGTTTGCAGCCTGTTCATAAGTCTTCCCACTATCCCAAGTTTCAATTGCTGCAACTTCATCTTTGTGTTTTTCCAATAAATCAGCAAAGCGAAAAATTACACGTGATCTTTCCTAGAGGATATCATCAAAACATAGGTTAAAATTTTAGTATATGAAAAACATGTAGCATCTTGTACCCTCCAAAAAAAAATTTGCTAATCAAAAGAATGCATGTTAAGAAATTTAAAGAAGAAAAATGGATTTGACAATGTTTTACTACATAAGCTGACATCCTTGGCCATGGTCCCTCATCAAAAGCCTTGCGAGCAGCATGCACAGCACGATTTACATCTTCACTGTCACCTTCAGCAACGTTGGCAATTATATCTCCTGTCCTAGGATCAAAGGTTGGAAAAGTTTTCCCTAACAAGGGTGAAATTTTTAAATTAAGTTTATGTTTCATAGAATTTTTTTAAGCATTCGTTCATATGAATAAAACAACAATTATTTAAGATATTAACCAGAAGCTGCATCAACAAATTTTCCATCAATCAGAAGCTGACTATGATCAATTTGCATAATTGGTATGATAGGATCCACATCAGCAGCGGCAGCAGAAGCATCAATTCCACTTATACTTCTATGCCAGCGACAATATAGGCCTGAAAATTTAGTCAATAGCCATCCAATTTTTTAGAAAATCAAATTTAATAATGTATCTCCTATAGTTCTATGATATAACATAATGATATGTTCATGCAATTCATGTGACCCTTCTATAGATTTGTTTGTTAAGAAAGTATAGATTTGTGTTTATGACAGCATATCAAGTGAGAGCAATGCCGAGACAGAAATTTCTTTGGAGAGGGAACAAAGGGTCAATATACAATCAGATTCCAAAGACTCCAAATGTTTAGAGAGATATAATATAAAATCATTGAAGACCCATAAATTTGAGTTTTTAGGTGATATGGTTGCTTTACATGGTATCAGAGCCACCAAAGTGACCACGGGATCACAAGTTTGATTTTCACTGTCCCCACTTTCTAATGGAATTAAATCATCAAAGGTAGAACAAAAAACATGGACCTATGCAATATATACGCTTTAAGCTCAATACAAAGGGTTGAAGGTTCAATATAAATTCGGGAGGGGGAGTGTGAGAGAGATATAATATAAATCCATTAAAGGCCCATCACTTATTAACTTGAGCTTTAAGGTGAGATGGCTACTTAACACCAAAGTTTTCTGCATAAAGAATAATAAGATAAAAATTTGGAAGGCTCAGCTTGAAAGAGCCAACTTATATTAAATTTCATTTTATGTGTGAATGAGACCTAATACAAAAGGTTGTATGAGATTGAGGGGGTGATCGTCCTCCCTAGCCCATCCTTGGTTCCACAAATGAGTGAGAGTATGCCTCACAAAGTGAGAAGAGCATCATCATGCATGTGTGGTCATTATAAACATAAAATGTAAATTCAAAACCTCACTTCAAGTTTAGAAGAGTATGAAGATTTTCGTTTTACTTAAGTAGATATGCTCAAATACACATTATAAAGGGAGAGATAGTGCTATTACCTAAACAATGTTTAGAAGCTGAGACATACCGCAGAGAGGAAAGAATTCGATTAGCCATGACCTGCATAAATGTTCTCAAAGATTTCAAGTCTTTTTTTTTTTCAAATGCAGCCTTCAGTTGAATTCTCACCACACTTCTTTTAAGAGTTTTAAGTGTTACCAACAAAGCAGAAAGGAAGAGAAGGTGGAGAGCAACGAGTAGTTGGTACTTGGTACTAGTTAGTCATCATTTTGCTTGTACATGCAATCGAGTGTATAGTGTCTTAAGTGACTTACGGATGACACTATTTCTCATGAGTGAGACAGCAAACAAGTTGAAAGAGTCACATTCTATAGATAGAAACAATGATAGCCGCCATAATAGGGAATATGGAACATCAAATTGCATGTATATGTATATGATATCAAGCATAATTGACACCCACTTGGCTTTCTGAACTGACTAAAATGATCACTCACCAATTATTGTTGGGTAAGAACATGTTTGGTAAAAAATTTGGAGAAGTAATTAATTATTTAATTTTATTGTTTTTTCTTTTATAAAAAAACCAATTCAACCCAAAAGCTTAAGCTGTTGGGTGAGGGACTCTTTAATGGTTTATATTATACACTAACACGCCCCCTCACAAAGAGCCCATTGGTCTTGAAAGGTGCATCAGACGCAGCCTATCTGTGCTAAGAAATTCCACAAAGAAAATGAAAGGTGGCGAGGATCGAACTCGGGATACGAGGCTCTGATACCATGTAAAGAACTAATTCAACACAAAAGCTTAATAGAAACCATTAAAAAGGCCCTCATCCAATACCTTAAGGTTTTAGGTTAAAGTGATTCTTTACATGATATGATATCAAAGCCTCTGTGACTAAGTGGTCACGAATTCGATTCATCACTGCCCTCCACTTTCTAGTGGAATTAAAATAAACACAAGGTAAACAAAATTGGGCCTGTGTAATATCCACGCTTCAAACCCAAAGGACTCTTACGTGAGGAGATGTGTTAGAGAATATTATAAACCATTAAAAAGACACTCACTCAATACCTTGAGGTTTTGGGTTGAAATGGTTCATTACATAGAATCAGAGCTTCAGAGGCAATAAGGTCACGAATTCGATCCTCACCGCTCCCTACTTATGGAATTAAAGGTAAAAACCAAAAAAAAATTTGGGCCTATGTTTTATCCGTGTTTCAAGTCCAAAGGGCTCTTACGTGAAGAGATGTATTAGAAAATAATAGAAACCATTAAAAAGAATCATCAGGTCCGTTTACATGAACTTATAAAATGACGTTTGGTAGAAGAATTTTTTTTATCGGAAAAAATAATTTTCGGGAATATGGTGAGAAATTTTTTTCCCGAATAAGTTACTAAAAAGTGTTTGGTGGGCTAAATTTTTTCCAAAAATATTGGGTTAATTTTACTGATTTTATTGATAATTTTCGCACCGCTTGGGAATTTTCAATGACATTTCTTTGTACAAAAGCAAATGATGGGAATTTTTTTTTCCCATCTTACTTTTACTTTTCCTCCTTACAAACATGGACAAATAATTTTTCCCACCTCATTTTCTTTGAAAAAAAATTTCACCTCCTACCAAACACCCCCTAAAAAAGAACTTTTGTGACTTCTTTTTTTAAAATGACTCTTTCTAAAGATGAAATATATAAAAAATACTTTTAAATAAAAAGGCTATTGAATGTTAAAATTAATAAGCACTTTTTATATATAAAATTACTAAAAAAGATGTGTCATAATAGTTGTGGTAATGGGGTGGTCGGGTGGAGTAATTGGAGCGGGCTTGAGATAAAATTGGATTTTCAAAAAAATATTTAACTTTTAATTTTTAGAAGCAAAGAATCTTAACTTAAAAAAAATATCATTTAACTTTTTTTTGTTGTTGTAAATTCTCCTTTTTTTAAAAGATGCTATACAAACGTATAAAATTACTCAAAAGAATTTTTTTGAAAAAAAAAAACTTTTCTAAAAAAAAAATCTATCCAAACACACATATAAATATTTTATTATTATTTTCTTAGGCCACCTTCCGTTATTCTTGGCCAGTATAAAGCCTTGTCAGTTGGGCCTTTCTTCGTCATTGTACAATACAATGGTTCATGTTGTTCTTTAGAATGTTGCACTTGGTTCTGAAGCATTATACTTAATTGGCCAATTATTTGAAGAATATAAATTCTTTCAATAATGCAAGCAAAAATTCATGCACAAAATTACCTGCAGCTAAGCAATGATGGGTCCTCGAGCTTGAAAATTCTAGGAAAAAGTGTTTCAGATTCAGCCAAATTTTTTTTTAAAGGTAGAAGGGTTGCAAGAAGCTTTTCTCTAAGCCAGCAGCTTTTAATGGATCCTCACAAGAAGTTGATTTAAACAAAAAAAAAAAAAAATAGATTAGAGGAGATATGTCATCATGCAAGATTAAGGAAGAACACCAATTTCATTGAGCAATTTAAAACAAAATTTCGTATTGCCTACCAAAGAAGGAAAACTGAGAATCAAATCCAAATTGGAAGCAGTTGACTTAATGTGTAGTATTTTAGTTTTTAAACCAATAATCATTGATTCAAGTGATATAGAGTTTGCACGTAGTATAGACAATTTCACCAGAGTTTGCCGAAAGAAAATAGTATTGGAAGAGTCGCCTCTAATATAAATTCAAAAATACTCGAATTGAATTAAATTAGTTTAGATAAAAAAAAAATATTTGTTACCAATATACTAAGAAAAAAATTCTATTACCCAAGAGTTGTTAATCCATTGGTGATCCAGTTAGATTGAGTTCGATTCTTAAAAAGGGAGAAGAGACTCCAACTCGAAACAAGATTAGTCGAGTTCACAAGAACTCCAAACAATAGTTGCTATATAAAAAAAAAATAGAAAAATAGGGAAAAATTCAAAAATTTCTATGACTGTGGTATTGCTTTGAATCAGTTACATCTCTATACTTTTGTTTTAATCACTTAATCCCCTATCGTCTTTTTCTTCCATACTCCTCCCACTGTCAGAAACTTGATAAATATGCATACTTTATCCTTCTTAGATGAAGAAAATAAAGTGATTAAAAAAAGTAAGATCAAATGTTATGAAAACTTAGAATACTTAATAAAAGACTAATTAGAGGGTGTTTGGTAGGAGATTTCTTTTAGGATGACTGGAAAAGTTGATATGAGTTTACTAGTTGACCATGTTTGGTAGGAGATTTTAAAAAATTTGCCCATCATTCAATTTGCATAACAATCTTAGTTTGTGTGTAAAATTGAAAAAGTTTGTCGTTTCAGAATACTATCCATAAGGTGGTATTCTCATTACCCCATCAAACCAAAAAGTAAGAAAAAAAATAATGGACACAAATATCCCTTCTCAAAAAATGTGCCAAAAGAAAGTTGTAGAGAGAGAATCTTATTTATATTTAGTCAAGGGTTAATTTGATAATTTCATCCCATTTTTCATCAATATTTTATCTTCAACCAAATATAGACTCAGAAAATTTAACCCAATTTTTTCGGTATTATTTCGACCTACCAAACAACTTTTTTTTTTTTAACTTTCTTACCAATCTCACTTTTTCACCATATTCCTAGTAATTTATTTTTTTGGTAAAAAAAAACTTTCTTCTCTACCAAACGCTCTTTAAAGAAAAAAAATCAAATGTATCTACATAAAAAAATAGAATAAGAACAAAAAATAGAAGAAAAATAAGAACAAATATGTTTAAAATCACAATAGTGATATAAAAGACTAAAATTAAAGAAAAATAAAATAAAACATAAATGAAAAAAAATACACTAAAGACAAAAAAAAATAGAAGAAAAAATTAAGATAAAAAAATAATACAAAAAAAATCATAAATATGAATTTTCAATATATTTGATTTTTTTTTTCCGTTTGTGTCCTTGTCTATTTTATTCTTTTTATTTATATATCTTTGGACTTTTTTATATCTCTATTTTATTCTTTATCTTTTTTTTAAAAATTATTTTATGAAAATCTTTAGTAAATGGGATGGCACAAGGCTAAAAAAAATCAGAATAAAATAGACCAAAAAGTGAAAAAATAAAAAATAGAAAAAAACCAAATATATATAAATAAAAAAGAATTAAATAGAACAAAAAAATATAAAAAATAAAAAATATAACCAAATATATTAGAAACTCATAACTGTGATTTCTTTTTATTTTATTTTTTTATCTTAATTTTATCTTTTATTTTTTGCCTTCAGTATTTTTTTTTCACTTAGAATAATTTTATTTTTTTAATTTTAGTCTTTTCTGTGACTGTTGTGATTTTTAAATATTTGGCTTTATTTTTTCATCTATTTTTTTGTCCTTATTCGTTACTTTTGACTTTTTTTCTACTATTTCTTTTAATCTTTTATTAAGTGTTCTAAATTTTCACAATATTTGGTCTTTTTTTTTTTCTAAGAAAGGTTATATATATATATATATATATATATATATATATATATATATATATATATATATATATATAATTAAGTTCCTAACAATATTAAGGAGAGATGTGGACCAAAAAAACTACGGAAGGTTAAGTGTTTAATATATATATATATATATATATATATCAGAAAAATGTTTCTGCACTTATAAGTTATAAGTTATCTGTATTTACTTCCAAAATGATGTCGTCTTGGGATTGAAAAATTAAAATATTATAATTATAAAGACTATAGTAACCCTGAAATAAATTAAAACTACAAAAATACCATAATTTCTGTCGCAAAACGATATCGTATTGGACTTACTGTAAATAATTATCTGAAGTAATTATAGAAAAACGAACCCTATATATATATATATGTGTGTGTGTGTTATATATAAAAGGGTAAGTAATTCAAAGCAATATCATAGAAAGGTTTTTGAACTTTTCCATAAAAATTATTTACTTTATGAATTTACATTCTCAGCAAAAAAAATCAAAAATAGAAGGACATCGTACATCAAAATAAAGACATTGTCTTCTTTTGCTGCATTTTGCACTTTGCAGAGTGCATCATAACCTCAATTGCAGATTTGAATTTAATAGGTAGCACCACCACCAGGTTGTCAAATTCTGCACATAGCAAAAGCCCATGTGTTCGAACTG